GAAGGAGGGGAGGGGGAAGGGGGAAAGATGAAGAAGGGGAAGGAGAGGGAGAGAGGGATTAAAACGCAGACATGGTGGTCCTATCTCACCATCGGGTGTGGCTGGCTTGGTTGGCTTGGTTCGCAGAGGCTGACACTGGGGCCTGTCCTTGGTGTGCCCCTCAATTAAGTGCTGCCTTGATGCGATTCAATGGTTTGATCAAGGGCCATCCACAGTCAACTCGGCAGAGACACTGCGTGCTTGGTTCCAGCCCACTCGCCCAGCACAGCACCTACAGTTTAGGAGATGTTCTGTAAATCCATGCCGTGCAAATCAGTGAAAAAACATTGCGAAGCAAGGAACTCGATGGCACATTAGTGTTTTCATTCTAAAATAAAATTTAAAATGGTGGGGTATCTTATAGAATTCACAGATAGGAAATTTGTTAGAATTCTTTCCATGTCAAAGGTTCAAATTTTACAGAAATAATTCTTAGGTATTTTCACTCCACGGTACCCTTAATTCTGGCTCGTTCCACATTAGATTTCCGTACAGGGAGCTTTTCATTTGTTTTACCAGTGTTGTGCCATTGTACAAGTGGGGGGGTTGGCATCTCCACTCTCCCTCTTAGCATTTGTGCTCCCCACCTGCTGGCAAGGAATAGGGGAAGGAAGCCTAAGTTATGCAAAACAAGTCGCTGATTCATTGCACTTCCACACAGCTGAGGAATCCTTAACCTTCTTTTTTTCACATTAACCCTTGTAATTCTTCTGTATTTCCTAACATTTTTAATCTACATTTAGGAAAACATCATCCTACAAGCATTTGAATAGAAGTGAATAGTAACTCATCCGTTCTCTGGGAATTCCTCATGGAGCTACATTAATTTAGTGAAATTATTATAGTCCAGGGTCAGGCTCTGTTTTGAAATCCAGAAACTCAGGTGTGAAAATACTGACAATGGGAAAGAAATGGGGTTGATAGAGTATTAATTTAAAATAAGATAGGTAACTTGAAAGGCCACAGGATGCTTGTTTTGGCCTGACCAGTACAGTCTGCAACTGTTGGGAATCTAAGTGGGAAGTTTGGCTGATGCTGCATTACCATAACGAGGAAAGTTATCTGCTTTCAGTGTTCAAAGGAATCAGGACAGAAGTCACCTGGCAGGACACGTCTGTCAGGGAGGATGGATGTGCCAGACACCCCCAGTTTCTCAGGGCAGCTTCTTCGTGGCCTGGCGTTAAACACTGTCAGCGTTTGTCTCATTCTTCTGGGTTCCACTCTGGCCAGACTCTCCTTGGCTTCACTTTCTCATTAATGTTAGCACTGAGTTGACGGACAAAACTGACTTTCATCTGTGAACACTTTGGTCTGCCTAGGGGAGGCGGAGAGGAGAGAAAAATACAGGCAAAATGCAAACTCGAGAGAAATGAAAATGTGTCCCCAAAATTGCATAACACTAAGTAACAGTGTGGTGATTTGGAAACAAGTCAAGTTCCTGAATCCTGAAAAGTTCCACTATGCATGTCTGTTCCTACTAGGCCTTTTCAAACAGAAATCACTTCGTTATTTACACGATTAATACTATTTTGATTTGGGCTGGACACTTCAAGTAAACACATTATGTTTGTTGAATCCCTGACCGTTTCTGCTTTGACTTATATGCCTTTAAAAATAGCTTTTTAAAAATTAAACATTTAAAGGAACCTTCTTGGGTATTTTCCTCTATATATCTACCTTGAATTATTTCTCCTTGACTAATAAAACAATTACTACCACGGAGTATTTTACTTTTGTTCTTAGACACTAGTGCCATGTAGACATGAATCACATTTTGAAGAAAATGTTTGGTAAGTTTTGGCCTGTTTAGAGGAGTTTGCTCTCTTGTGAAATTAATGAATCTGAGGTTGTAGGTTCAGTTCCCACAGGGACCAATTAGTTTCCCTCTCTTTCCCAGCAAAAGCCTCTACCTGTGACCTTGACCGGCCTCCTCCCCAGTCCCGCCCTCGCCATTTCTCCCAAGTCACTGGCAGTAGTTGATTGATGATCACCAATTCAGTCAGTATTGGGGGTAAAACATAAACAAGTGTTCTCAGGGATTCATAATGGGTCACATGTATCATCTTCCTTTTGAATCTCATCCAGGACTATAAATACATTTTGAAATATGTCTTTTCATCATTCTCAGTGGAGTCATAATTTATTCCCTTGTGAAAGAACTACAGTGAGTGCTCACAGCAGTGTTTCCTCAGACTGTAGAAGCTTACCGTAATCCTTAAGGCTAGAATTACTAGGCACCAGCTCTTTTTGGACTTGAACAGTTAGGATAAATACCAGTGAATGATCTGTGAAATAATTTTAGTTATTAAAATAGTTGTGTAGGCTAAGGCAGGTTATTTTCAGCTTGATCAAAATTAAATTGACTATAAAATCTTAAGTGCCTTTTGCCATTGGCGTATAAAATTTTCCATGATTGTGTTGCCTTGGTATGTATCTCCCGTTGTCTTTTTTGTGTTTGTTTATTGGATTTTGTTTGTATATTTTTTACTTGTTTTTAAGATAGTGAAGATACCTTGATTTTAAAGCTATTCCAGTTTCATTGAGAAAACAAAAAACACTTTTTAACTCAGTTACATGCTCAATTAAAGAGTTAGACTCATTCATACTTGGTTTTATGTTCCTTTTCAAAGAATAGGTTCATTGTATTGAGTTTTATAGGAATTTAAGAATAACTCCTGCACAGTTAGAGAGGTGAATTAGTGTAGCTTAATTGTATGTGAGCTAGCACTAATTTTCATGTAAATGAGAAGATATTTTCTTACATTTATATTCACCCATCTCTTCATTCAGCCAGTGTTTTGAGTGCCTACACTGTGTAATTTTCAATGCTGTGAGTAGAATGATGGATGAAACAGAAGTTCCTGCTCTCATTAAGATTATATCCCAGTGCTGGAGACAGGTGTAAACAGGTAAATATGTTTTAGTAGATAGTGATAGGTATTTTGAAGAATAATTGAGCAGAGTGAGAGAGTGTTGTGAGGAACTGGTCAGGAAAAGCCTCTTAGACAGAGTGGTATTTTAGCAGAGAGGGAAGTGAGCTTTACAACTAGAGGGAAGCATTTCACACCGAAAAGGCTGAAAGGTACCTGTGGGTTTGAGAAGCCATCCAGGAAACCAGTTCAGTAGAACTAGCCAGTAGCAGGGAGGGTCCCAGGAACTGAGCTTGGAGAGGTAGCAGGGGGCCTTGTAGGTCATGAGAAAGACTGGATTATATTTTAAATGGGATGGAAAACTTGGTCCTCACTTACTTAGGTTATAGACAAGAGTTCACATAAAATATAAATT